GGGGGGGGGGGGGGGGGGGGGGGGGGGGGGGGGGGGGGGGGGGGGGGGGGGGGGGGGGGGGGGGGTAAACGCATGCCGTCACCGTTAGATCATAAACCTGGCATCCCTTAATGCCGGGACGGAGCGATGGACTGGGTTTTCGCCGGCCCAGTTTAAAAATAGGAGCATCTTAGCGGTTAGTCCATTGACCACGCGCCCTCGACAGGACGGAGCAAAAACGGGGGGGAATGCGGAGGCGAAACTCAGAATCACATTACAGACACTTCGCGTCGCCAGCTACCAGCCAACACGCCAAGGCGCACCGCACGTCGGCTTTGGCCTCCAGAGGGGCTTGGAGCGGGACAGAGAGCGCCAAATGTCAGCCGAGGGGGAGTCTTCACCGCATCCCCGTCGCCTAGATAGCTCCGAACGTTGTTCTTCTGTTCCAAGGCAAACCGCACTATGTATCAAAGCACTCACGCACCACTCAACACAGCAACTACGCGCGCACGGTAACGTGTTGGATGCTTTGCGTTATGATTGATCACGGGTCCCTCCCTCCCTCCCTCCCTCCTGACAACAGGAGGCCAAAACATCCAAAGGTTCCCAACAACAACAAAAGGCCATCAAACACGACCACTGAAAACGTCTAGCCTGTTCACGACAAGTCTTGCGAGAATCTTCGCAGGGACGTAAATGGGCAGAAGCAGCTAGAACGACCATAAATATTTCATTGTGACGACAAAAAGAGGCAACAATGAGGTCGACGAGGGGTTCGACAAGCCTCTCACCCTCAGCCATCGCCGAAGCTCCCCGGCGTTCATGGCAGACACCTGCGCGAAAGAGTCCTCCAGGAGGTTCTTTCTGTTCACCTGCAGACGACCAAAATTGCACCGCACCACAGCGTTGAGGGAGACCGACCAAAGAACAACCAAACAAAAAAGCCTTGTCGGATTGTACACACCGACGGGACACTAAGCGTGGCGGGCATGATAGAATAAGCCTTCGTTATCTGCCTGCTATTCTACGAGGAGGGGTATGGCAACTTTGGCACCGACTGCCTGGACAGCACAAACTTACGGGAGGCTTAAGCATGGCGCGCAAGCTACAACGACAACGCCTTTGCAAATCTCCCCGCAACATTGGTACCGACCCTGGCTCTCCGCCTCCCTCACCCATATCCTCGCAATCCGGAGCGAGGGTGTGCGGCCGGGGGTAGTGAGATATATCATGAACTCGACCTTCCCTGTATACACCTTAGGCATCTTTCTCTCCCTGTCTCTCTGTCTCTCTGTGTGTCTGTGTGTCTGTGTGTCTGTGTGTCTGCGTGTGTGTGTGTCTGTGTGTCTGTGTGTCTGTCTCTCTCTCTGTCTCTGTCTCCCTGTCTCTCTTTCTCTCTTTCTCTCTTTCTCTCTCTTCTCTCTGTCTCCGCGCCCCCAGCCTGCACGGACCCTTCCGGCACCCCCAACACGCTCTCACCTCTATTCGCATCGCTTCCATACCGCCCCCGTGCGGTACCTGCAAAAGCTTAAGCTGGTCCAAGAACCAGCTGTGCTTCTACTCGCGGGTCATCGTTGCCGGGCAGTCACAAGCAACAGTGGACAGCAGCAAAAAAAAACACCAGAAAACGTTTCGAAACCAGATGCACAATTTAGTGGTGGGTGCTAACAAACGAACACAGAAGCGGTGGGATAGGAACGTGAAATCACGGTACGGGATACGGTGCGTGCGGGGCGGGTTTTCGATCACCAGCAACCCATCAAACCGCATGCAAAACCCCCGAGCCGCGAACAGGTGCCACTGCTGTTGTTGACAAGGGAGATGGCGGCCAGCGGCGCTGCCAAATACTTCGTAGCAAGTAAGAAAGGAAAGTCCAAAATGGCGTATCTTACGACTCGAGCCCCGCAAGCAGCCAAGCGAAAGAAACAAAGCGCAGCGAATCCGGACAAGGGCAAGCGGGTTGCGTAAGTGTGCATTGCGCCCTCGAGGCACGCGGTGCTTTCCTGCTGCCGCAAACACCGCACGACTGCCTTCAGCGATGTTGGTGAAAACTAGTCACGGACAAAAACAACACGACGCTCCTCCTTCCAAAAACCGAGGTACGATGGTGATCATCGCACCTAACCGTTTCGCCGCGCACACCGACGACGCACCTGCCAGAACGGCTTGGACGCCACCTCGCAGAGCTTCGCTACCTGCTTCCGCGTCGAGGCGATCCACTCCTCGCTCGCCGCCTCCTCCCTCCTCGCCTCCCGCCGACGCGCCGTCCCCTCCGCCCACCCCCCGTTCCCGTACGCCGCCCCAAGCCTCGCAGCCGGCCCGGTACCGAGCCCGAACCCTAACGCCCCCGCACCCGCAGCGCCGGCTGTGGCGCCCGCGGAACCGTTCCGCCCTCGGCTTGCGCCGTTGCCGCCGCCGGGAGGTAGCGATGACGGGGTTGCCGCTCCCTCTCCGGCAAGCTGGCCTCTTCGCGTTGCCGAGGGCGGCAGCGGGTGTGCCTNGGGGGGGGGGGGGGGGGGGGGGGGGGGGGGGGGGGGGGGGGGGGGGGGGGGGGGGGGGGGGGGGGGGGGGGGGGGGGGGGGGGGGGGGCGACACGGGGGAAGCGAAGTAACGTCAAGTACGCACCACACTCTGTGGAGATATAGGGGGCCATGGGGATATTCATAATTGTTTTCCGTAGGGTCCAGAATACTTTTAAGAAGAGCGGTATGCACAATGTGTACATCGCTGAAACTGTTGAAAGCCAGAAGAAGGACACCGGCGGGAGAAACGATTCCACGCGTGACCAAACAAGAGAGGAGAGAGAGAGGTCGGTAGAGAGAGCGAGAGAGAGACAGACAGACAGACAGAGACAGAGATTGGTTCTTTGCTTCTTATAAGCGAAGCAGCACAAGTCGATACGATATGGTGATGATGGTGTTAGTGGTGGTAGGTGTGACCGTGGCGGACTACAAAACTCCCGCACGTACCGCAACACCGCGGACATACAAAGCCCCGACAAAACCTTGGTCTGTGGTCAACCCGTGTGCGACTGCCGTGCACCTACAGAACGAGGAGCGGGCGAACGGGGAGGGAACAGCTGCTCTTTAAAAAATTAATCCTCACGTGGCGTAGAAACCAGGGCACTTGGTCAACATGATCTCGTCCCCGAACGAGTCACGTCGGGTCAGAGTCACCGCTTCCCTCGCCGCCGACGCTGTCTTCACAGCAGCCGGCAACTCCTTGCCCTTGTCTTTGCTGCGGCTGCGGCTGCGGATTCGGCTGTCGCCGACGCTCCTGCTGCCGTCCGGGCGCCCCGCCCCCCCGCCGTCGTCGCTCCCGGCCGACGATAGACGCGCCCAGGATCCATCATCGCTTCTGGTGTCGGACCCTTCGCGCTCCCGCTTCGCGCCTCGCTCGTCACCGTGCGATTGCGGCGACGACCATAACGATGACTCCCCTCTCTCCGCGGCTGACAGCGACGACTCCCCCTCTTCTCTGGCCTCTTCTGCCACCGCCGCCGCCGCCGCCGCCCCCGCCCCCGCCCCCGCCCCCGCCTGCTGCTCTTGCTGGTCCTGGAGAAGCGGCTCGGTCGCCGAGTCTTCCTCCGGCCCTGCTCCCCCTTCCTCGGCCAGCCGTTCTCGTGATCGCGAGGTCCAGTACCGGAGGACGGCGGACGCGTTGGCTGCGGCGGCGGCAGCAGCGGCGGACACGCCTCTGGCCCCGGTACGGCCTCGCCTCGCCCCGTTGTCGCCGTCGCCAGCAGCGGCGACGGCGGTAGAGGAAGCATTCGGAGGAGGCGTGATCGACGGCGGCTGGTAGCCGGGGGGGTTGCCGGAGGCGGCGGAAGCGGAAGCGGCGGCGGTGGCGGCGGCGGCGGCGGCCAGCGTGGCGGGGCTTTCTAAGCTCTGCAGCCAGCGCATCTTTCCGTCGGGGCCGATCACGCGCTGCCATATGCGCCTGCGTCGTGCCCTGCGAGCGTGTATGTGTGTGTCGGGTTTAAAGCCCATGGCGACAAATAGCAGCACGGTAAGAGAGATAGAGCACGGTGACGTTTTAGGGGTCATGCAAATTGAGGGGGCAGGGGCGTATCTGTCCACGACGCACAACGTGAGTGAGTCAACGACATGTACGACACATGAGACATTAGACAAGTTCTTGCCATGAAAACAGGCCAAACAACTCCGCAAGCCCCCCCGTGTTCAAACGACGACACGCCCAAAAAAAACTTCGTCGAGAAGAACGGTATTGCTCCAAACCACCACTACCTGCAAGCATGCCCAACAGGCCGGCCACCCTCTTCCGCTCTGTCAAGGCCCCGGCGATCGCGCCCAACACTCCTGCCATCCCACCCCCCTCGGTCGCTCTGTCAACGCCCCACCGACCATGCCCAACACTCCTGTCGGACGACTCACCTCTTTTGCCGCTCTGTCAAGGGCCCGAGGCGCCGCACCGTGCGGAACGGCGCTGCGCGGGGCTTTTCCCCGTCCTTCGTCTCTCCCCCGAGGGAGGCACCTACGCGGCGCGCCGAGCCGTAACCGTCCCCGCCAACGCCGCCACCGACGATGTAGCCATCGTCGCCGCCGTCGTCGTCGTCTGGTGCAGTAGCGCCGTCGTCGTTGCTAAGCAAAAACGAAACCAAACAAACGATCAGGTGCAATTTTTAGGAAATAAGCAAAAACTGCTGTTACGGGACGAGGCTATTTACAAGGTTGCCTTTCGCGGTTTGAGCCAAGAGACAAGTCCGGGAGGGAGGAGATCAAACCGCCTGATCCTTTTCGGGGAGTCGACAGCAAGGCGGGCAGCCGATTGCTCGCATTAGGGCGAGGGTTTATCCTTAACAAGGACAGCATGAGACAAACAAACACGCAACATTTCCCCAATAATGCAGGTGCCAAAATGGTTTCGAAGCGAAACACTGGGTCTATACACGCATCCACACGTACACACAGCAAAATGACACACAAAAAAACGTGTGTGTAGCTTAGTCAGATTTGAGAGCGGAGGGGGTGGCGAAAGCCCCCGTCTCTCGCCGAGCTGCCACCGAGACTATCTAGTGAACGACGATACCGTCAACACACACAAACACACAAAAAAAATAGGCTTCATCTCCCTCTTCCCCTGGTCTCCTCCACCTACCTGCCCCCCGGCATCAACCCCGTCCCCGCCTGCAGCAGCAGCGGCGGCGGCGCGGCAGCCTCGGGTTCGTTCGCGACCTCGCTCTCCTCGGCATCGCCTCCATCCGTCTCTTTTCCTATCCCCTCCCTGTCCCCTCCCTGTCCGGCCGCGGACATCTCGGTTACCTCCGTGCTATCGCTACCTCGTGCTGCGTCGCCAAGCTCACCGCACCCGCTGCCCCCGTCTTCCTCTCCGGCGCCGCTACCGCTGTCCGGTGTCGAGTACGGTGGCCTCGCGTCCCCGCCTTCCCCGACCTTGCCCTCTTCTACGCTCGTTTCGGACGGCTAGCAAAAAAAACGCACACACACACATACACACATTTGATTAGACGGCGTTCTGTACTCATCCGTAAGAATGACGTCTTCTCGTTAGCTAGCGCGGTCGATGCTAACTCAACACACAAAGAGCGAGAGCAGCAACAACACTCGACAGGGGCCCTATGAGGAGCACCTGACATGCAGGGTGGAGATATGTACTACAGCAGCAGCCCGTTCGAGACCGGTAGTCTGGTGTCACCAACAACGAAAATAATTTATTTAGTATACACAGCAGTTGCTGCTGGTCGGTGTCCACCTACAAGCTAGGGTGCCCTCGGTTCACTCTCATCATACATCAGAATATCACCTTCGATACAGTCGCACCGCCCTTGGGCCTCGAAGTTTCCTTGTCTTTCCAATACGCCTATTGCCGGCGCCGACAGGCAAACGATGACGGTCAAGGAGCCACACGATGACTGTCAACAACTATTCAACGTGACAAGGACGCACTGAACAAGGGCTGTGAGATGACACCACTTCTCAGCAATGGCATGAAAGAACAAACGCAGTCGAGCTCCCTTTGGGGGGGGGCGCGGGGAGCGTGGGGGTAAACGCCGCCGGCAAAGTAACAACCATGTAGCGGTGGTAGGTCTCCTCGCGAGGACAATAATCTTTTATTCACGCGGCATGGGAGAAAAAAAAAAGAAGCTTTGAAGGCATTGGGAAGAACGACGGACTTGACGACGAGAGCGTGCGTAGTGTAGTGTTTCGGCCTCACTAAGTGTACCACTGGTGCATGACGACCGCAAAGCAGACGTTTCTATCTACCATAGGTTGCATGTAGGACATTACACACCCTGGGGGCCGATTTTCAAAGGTCGACTGCTAACGGCACCCGAGACGGGCGGCGGCGTTGCGAGTCCAAGCCACCACACGCTACTGACACAAGTCTGGTTGACGCCGCGTCTGCACCCACCAGCTCCGGTATGCACCACCCTCATCACGGACACCGCGCTCGACGCTGCTCTTACGACACAGGCGGAGACTTCTTAATACACTCGCAACAAGGGAACAACGCTCGATTTCCAATCGATACCATTTCCCATCGACCCTCCCCCCCCCATACCTAATAGCCTCCTTTCCGACAACACCAAGAACGAACAATCTGATTCAACGATGTTTGCGTCATGCCAGTCCCCTCTAGCCCTTGCTGTCGTCTCTTTCGTGTGCTTTTTAGGGAGAATATTTTATGGTCGGCTCGTTGCTAAGCAGACAGATCATCGCACCTCCGCAAACTCCGAGCTCATGCCGCACAGGTCGCAGTGCTTGCAGTGGGGCCTGTTGTCGAACCCGCAGACGGGGCATCGCCAGGAAGCGTTACCCGCAGAGTCCGTGAGACTGCTTCGAAAGATAACCTAAGGGGTGAGGGGTTTGCCAAACGAGCATACGTTGCTCAGATTGGGTAGGCGATTGTAGACAGTCGTTCGTGTCCACAAGTCTGTGTAGCGACACGAGCATACGTTTCTCAAATTGGGTAGGCAATTGTAGACAGCCGTTCGTGTCCACACGTGTTTATTGGGACATCGGCATACGCTTCTCAAATTGGGTAGGCGATTGTAGACAGTCGTTCGTGTCCACACGTGTTTATTGGGACACCAGCATACGCTTCTCAAATTGGGTAGGTAGTTGTAGACAGCCGTTCTTGTCCACACGTGTTTGTTGCGACACCAGCATACGCTTCTCAAGTAGGGTAAGTACAAGATAGCCATTCGTGTCCAGGTGTGTGTTGCCACACGTAGTATACGTTTCTCAAACTGGGGCAAGTAAGAGACAGCCGTTCGTGTCCCACACGTGTGTGTTGCGACACGGGGAATACGTTACTCGAAACGGGTAGAGTACTCGATAGCTGTACGTGTGTGAGAGTCAAGGGAGAATTACTTTCGTATTGTGCGCATCGTACATACGTAGACACTGCCGTCGTCCTAACCGACCTCGTGCTGCTGTTCCTCGCCGTCGTCGTCGAGCAGGGGCACCGCAAGATCACCCCCGGAGGCGAGCCACCACCTCTCGTGCCACATCGCCACGAACTTCCTCGCCATCGTGAGGAAGCAGCAGCAGCACAGCAGGGCCGAGAGCGTCAGGACCAGCACGTACCAGCCGGCCCCCTCCTGACAGGTTGCCTGAAAAAAAGGACAAAAGAGACGAGATACAGGAAAACGAGAGACATGAAGAGAAAGGCTGTACATAGGTGCCTGCGCAACCTCTACCCTGATTTGGTCCTCATGGCCATTGACATGTGACAAAAACTTGTGGAGTTCCAACAGAGCTAGCTGGTGGGAGTACTTCCCGACCGCATAATCTCCAGTTCGCTGCTGCTGTGCTACCCACAAGTCGTTCGTTTCCAGGGACGTTTCATATTACCTCTAATCGTACGCCAACTGCCGTCCCCCGCACACCGCCATTCAAGCCAAAGTGGGGGTGTGGGTGTTTAAGCCAACAAACTGCCACGTACTCGGATTTCGGAAATGCCTTGTACACTGCTGTAGACTGGTACGATACAGACTCAGGGTGTGTGTGGAAAAAAACGCCTCTGTCTTTTGAACGCCCGCGGTACAGCGCTTTCCGTTACCGCCGTCCGGTTGGCTTTCTACCTAGAACGAAAGGGCATCTCATGATGAAGCATATGCATAGAAGGGCGGCTGTTGGAGTAGGGTCACCAGTGCCTTCCAGCGCCTGCTGCTGCTGCTGCTGCTGCTGCTGCTGCTGCTGCTGCTGCTGCTGCTGTAACGCGGAGGCCTCAGAGTGCGATATGTACTGCCCTGACACGGAGAAGATGTTTACTTTAAGAGTAGGATCAGTTCATGCGATGGCCGCCGCACAAAGGCAGGTGATACAGAGAGCAGACGTTTCCGAACGACCTTCTAGATAGGTGCCGGCCTAAGGCTTCGCAACAAAGCCAAGAGAGCCGTACAGGTTGCAGTTTACGGGTGAAGTCATGCAACCGTTCGGGTGTACATTTTGTCTACGAGGCAAAAAGTGCGGCATTCATTCAAAAACAAGGGTTGGCGATTCAACAAGAGGCAAAAAGGTGGCGTATTAATACAAGACTCCTTCTTCACCTGCAGCTCTCCGAACTCACAGCTGTCCTGAGCTCCAAAGCGAGGCACGCACAGCCCACCCCCGACAACGCTGCGCGATTCGTCCTTTGGCACGTTGCACCAGAGGCATCCTACATCGCCCTGACCGAAGTAGTCGACACATGACTCGCAAGTGGCAAACTTAGAGCAGGTGGAGTTGCCCGACTGCTGGCTGCTGTCGTCGTCGAAGTCGAAGTACGACGACATCCGTCTCGCCTCCTTCGGCGTGTCCCTCCCAACTGACTCACGAGCGAGAGGGAGAGATGGAGGATAGAGCAGAGAGCAGAAGAGACGAGGACGGCAGGACGGCTGACGGCAAGCGGCGGGGAGGAGGGTGGGCAGACCGCAACGGTAGGGGGGGGGGAGTTCCGCGAATACTGGTCATGGGCCCCCTCAATGATTTTGATTTGGATCGCAGGATCCAGGTTTCCGCAGACCTCACCCTGCTCTCTGTCTCGCTGTGTGTTCACCAGTCACGCGAGCACACCGGTTGCTCATGGCAAGATGCCCCTAACGGCGGAGTATACATGGGCAGAGTCGGAGACCATAATCCAAGTGCAAGTGCCGCTGAAGGGACAATCAGCATCCAAACTCGATGTCTTCGGTGAGCCTGCTTCACTTGGTTTCACTGTATCCCAACAAATCATGAGTCTTCCAATCACACCCTGGGGATTTCCTGCGGAAGAGAGAGAGAGAGCGCCGTCGTCTTGCGCCACCAACTCATCCTCTCACGGCGCGATGCTTGCGTACCTACTGTTCCCTTGTCTTCGTTAGCGACCGAGTGTTACCTGAAGGTATCTTTTCCGCCGTACCTTCTGGAGGTGGATCTTGACGGGTACATTGATTCCATGCAGCCGAAGGCCAGGGTGGAGAACGGCACCCTCATGATCAAAGCAAAAAAGAAGGAGGGCAGCGCCACATTGTGGGGATCCTTAGGCCAACGTGTCAGCCGCAAGTGCGATCCCAAGGTCAAGGCTCGTCGCGAAGAGTCCATCAAAGAGAAACTCAAGCTGGAGAACGAGGTTGGTTTGTCGCCGGTCGGTCGTGATCTCGCCGGAGCCAGAGGCTAGTCGATCCCTTTCTTGCGAGAGGACCGGTGCTGTACAACAACATGATTAGTACGAGATACTGTACCACCGCCAGTTTGGCGTGACATCTACCCGCATCAGGACATGTCTTTAGTAACTCTGCCGTCTCTCTCCTTTCTGTAGAAATTGCGAGCCCTTGATTGGTGGCTTGTTGAACTGCTTGTACAACGACCTACGTGTAGCAGGCGGCAGGGTGCATTATTCCTCCTGATGAACTCCAACCTCACACTTACTGTACATATGTAGAATGACGACAATGCAGTTTCCTTCGATATACTCGGAGACCTGTCCTTCACTGTCACTGCCATGAAATCGCCTTGTCGTGGTACGACACAGTCACGGTCCCAATGCAGCCTTCTAACCACACGATCCCCCGCTCGGACCTCCTTATCGTACCGTCGGTTCTCTCAGCTCAAGGAGCGCGTGAGTCTGAGAAAGCACCATGATGAGCGCTTGGCATTGCGCAGCCAAATGAGCGTGGAGGAAGATGAAAGGAGGCGAATCGACGACATCAAGGCCGAGGAAAAGGAGAAAGCGGAGGTGCCTAACTAGTGCTCGCGTTTTGAAACGATGTCGCTCATTTGTAGGTTTAACCTGAGCAACAGGAGAGCATCGATTAGTCGGTGGTTACGCTTACCTCTGTCGTACTGCTGCAGACGATGGACGATGCGTGACTCTAGGTTTGTTCTGCATGGTGTGCGTAAGTATACCGGGGAAGTTGCCCATCACGGCCGTTGGTTGCACGGAGGCGTTCTTCCCAAATGCCGTTATATCTTGAGCGTTCAATCGCCTGTTTGTGCGTGTCAGGCAGAAGTGTACCGCGCTTTCGCGCAGCTGGCCGAAAAGCAAAATCGAGGAGGTTCCGCGGAAACCGAAGCGCAACCAAAAGAGGCGTGGAGCCAGGGGCCTCACCAACAAGACAAGCTGATGCTGCCGCCGAGCTCAACTTGTTCCCCGAGCGATCGGCTTTATACAATCGTTGAGGGAGTTTCCGACGAACATTGTTCTTCTCCCGAGATGATGGCTCCTGCGTATACCGCTGCTACAAAGGTCGATGCCGGGAACTCCATTTGGCAAGAGGAGACCGCCTCCATCAAAAACGGAGACAGAGGCTCCCAGGAAGCAGGTGGAGAAAGCGAACGCAGCGGTAGCACGAGAGCGACTGCTGAGTCATCGTCGTCTGTAACATTCACCCAGCATGATGAACAAGAAGAACAGCAGGGCGATAAAATTGACGCCCAACACAGCGACGAAGACGAGACATCAGTGAGCTACACCCCGGCGCCGAGGACGTCGGTCGGGGTCATTCCCGTTGGGTTTACCACCCGGCTGTTCCCAACTCCGCTGAGGGAGTCAAAGGTGGCCGACGAGTCAGCGTGGATAATGAAGAACCGCCGGCACCTCCACAAGAACCACGCGCTAGTGGGCAGGCTACCCGCAGCGGGTTCAGACTCAGCGGGGGGTGGCGGAAGAGACAAAGATATATCGGAGAGCGACCCCGTCTGGCTCAAGGGTAAGGGCGACGACCTCTACCGGGGGGGCGACTTCCTCGGGGCCGTGAACGCCTACACCGCGGCGCTCGACGCCGATCCCAGGGCGGCTGCCTGCCTCTCCAACCGCGCCGCCTGCTACCTCCGCCTCAGCGGCTGCAACAGCAGCAGCCACGACCAGGGCCGACGACACGCTTTGGCGTGCGTGGCCGACTGCGGAGCCGCCCTCGAAATCCTCCGGGCGCTGCCCGAGACCGGGCCCAGCCAGGCGAGAGCGCTCGCACGCCGCTCGCTGGCCTACCGCGAGCTGGGGCACTACCAGCCCAGCCTCGAAGACTGTCGCGCCGCGCTGCTGTTCAGCCCGGGGGACGCGGCCCTTCTCGAGGAGGCAGCCCGGGGGGAGTCGCTGGCGCAGGCCGAGCGGTGCAAGAAAGAGGGCGCCACTCGCTTTGCCGCCGGGGACGTTCGCGGCGCGTGCGAGCTGTACACGACGGCCCTCGAAGCGGTGCCGAGCTTCCCGCCCGCGCTGTCTAACCGGGCCGCCTGCTACCTCGCCCTTGGGAAGCCGGGCGAGTGCGTGCGCGACTGCACGGCAGTCCTGGAGATGTTCTCCGCTTCAGACACAGACCTTTTATCTCTCCTTTGCGGCGACCATGACCACAACCATCAACACCCTATTACAAGCGCAAGGAGCAACCCGAGCGAAAGTGCTGCTCCCGTTGAAAACGAAAACGAACAAGAGCGGGCCGCACCATTCCCAGCGACAGCGGCGGCTGATAGAACAGCTTCTTCGCCGCCGCCGCCGCCGCCGCCGCCTGTTGGGTCATTACCCCCACCGGGGTCAGAGAAGCGCACAAAATGGGTGATGACTACCTTGGCGCGGCGAGCGAGGGCAAACCTGCAGCTGGACAACGTTGAGGGTGCCCTACGGGACTTCCGCACGGCGAACTCGATCTGCCCGGGCAATAAGGGCGTCGAAGAAGACATCCGAGAGCTGGAGCGACGAATTAACGAAGCGGAAACGCCTTTGGAGCACTGAAACCCTCGGTTGGTTGGGCGACGGCCGTGACCATAGAATCTCTTGAAGTATCCCTTCGCTCTAGTTTCTTCCAGGGTCAAGCTACAAGCACAAGCAGGTGGCGGGCTAGCTTTCCTAGAGAGTTTTTTCTAGAGGGGCTAAAAGCAAGCCTACGAACGTTTTCGAGGTGAAAGTAGTGACACAACTCCGTTCCATCGTTGACCGTTCTAGTGGTGACCACTTAATTTTTTTTGTCTCAAACGGTAATGGCGCGAGTGAGAACAACTCCGTAGAGCCATCGATCGTCGACAGTAGTTTTTACGGCGTGTATGTGACTCTTCCAATCTACGCGGTTTCACGCCCTCTGATTGGTCAGGCGTTGGTTCCTAGCCTCGACCCTTTCCCGCGCCCTCTCACCGTTCCGCATTCCGAGAACGCGGCGCCGCGTTCTCACCCAGTTCGCCGCCGCTAGACCGTGCGTTGGCGTGGGTGAGGGTTAGGGATAGGGTTGGGTTGGGTTAGGTCGGCCACGGTGTGTCCTAGCCTTGCGCGGTATGTCCTAGCCTTCAACACCGGTTAGACCTACAAGAGTCACGAACAGACCGTAAATAGACCTCATCATGGACTGCAGTGCTGGCGATGGGTGTATATGTCGAAGGTAGGAGGGGGGTCAACTAACACTGCTGTCCTATAGAATGGGAGATCTTGAGCCGTTGTGCAAATATATTAGCTGACAGGGAATGCACAGAATAAGACATATGCCAGTGGGTGAAGAGGGTGTCGTGCAGCCACAAATACCCCGTCATGGCACACTCAAGGACTGTCTCGCCTGATAGCAGCAACTGCACACGTCGAATGTGTAGAACTACGAGAAACGCATGATGAGCTTATCTAGTTCACACTATGTACCAAGACCGTTGGGCATCTAGGATGGGCACGCAAAGTGCGAAAGAGGGCGCATGACGTCCTTCACCGCCTCCGTCCTCGACGCAAACGACACGCCTGGGAAAGCTCTTTGAGCGCGAGAAAACGCCACAATCGCCATAATTCCTATAACGTTGTTGTTTTTAGTCATCCCATTTATTCCGTGGGCGTTACAACTTGCGGCACAAGTCCGGACGCACCAGCCGGGTCAGACAGGACGAAGGTCTGTATCGAAAGAGAAAAAAAGCCAGGGACATGGAAGCCTTTAGAATCGGAGTCGCGCGTTCTCAGGGACCACACGGCGGCACTTGGTAGAGTAGACAAATGCCGCAACACACGCGTGATTACAAAGCAAACCGTGGACCAAGTTGCTGACGTCACTAGTCAAAACAATAAACATTCCCGAAAGCAAAGAGCCGGACCACGAAAGCAAAAAGTATTTGGTGCCAAAGAATGTCATCCTTTGTCCCCATCAAAGACCTTCTCCTAACTTCGCGCGAAGTTGGGACAGCGTACGCCTCCAAACCACCAACGCTTCTTTTCGACGCTAGTGAACGGTGTGAAAACAATCCCAAGATGCTCCCCCATCAAAACGATTATACCACCAGAGAAGTGTCCAGCCGTGGCTTCACCCTCTTTCTGCACACTAGCTCTCCTTCTTCCCTCTCCGCTACAGTCCACCACCCGGCGCCCCATGGCCACGCAAACCACAGCAGTCGTTCCCCTTCCTCTCAGTCGTCGTACTCGCGCGGCTGGGAGAAGAAGTAAATGAAGAATGCGATGGCCGAGGCCAGCCCGATCCCAAGAACGATTGGGATCGCCAGAATGCCGGGACCATTGATCGTGCCCACGATGCCGTTAGCGAAGTATTCGGCGAAGTTGTCGGCGTGTGCGGGCACCGCGGAGCCCGTGAGGGTTGCCGCTGACGCTACCGCCGCCACGGCAGCGACACGCTGGGCGCTCTTGCTGCTCAAAGGTTCTCCTGCCGCCATGGACGGCCCTCGGGTCGACGTTCGGCTCGCTCCTGCCGTTATGCAAGATATGGGTCAAGGACGAGCGATGAAAATCTACGGAGTGTTGCACGACCGCAAGGATATACCTTGAGGTATCGGGATTATTCAAGTCTGCAATCAGTAACACGACAGACATGCTTTCATTGTAGCCGAGTCTTTCGGGAGCATATAGACTATGCTCGAACGCGTGAACACTGTACGTGACGCCTGTTGCTAGAGTTGTCACTACCAGTACAGCAGTCGAGAGGCCAACGGAGGGGAGGTAGAGGAGCAACACTTGCTTGGCCGGCAAAAAAAAGAACAGAGATATCAATTGATACTGAGAGACCAACGGAAGGGGGATAGAGGACCAACACTCACTTTGTCGGCAATAAGAAAGAACGGATATATCAGATGATACTCTGCTACTGTGCTAATCTCTGGCCACCTACACCCGCTATTTCATACAGACGTTGTGCTTACAGTAACAAAGAAGCAACGGATGGAGGGTGTTATCTACCGTACGATCAAGGGTGGCATGACACATGATGATTTTTAGGGCGACATGTTTCCTCAAACGCGATACTATCGGAAAGAGAGATAGAGAAGTCAACCGGCAGCGGACAAATGCATTGCAAGCAACAAACAGAGAGTTGCGCGATATCAGTCCCTCCTCTGCACCTGTGTGGCGGTAGGCTCTTGTGAAGGGTGCCACGTGCTGGCTCTGAGTCGCCGACGGTCGGAGAGAGGCAGCTCGCCCCACAGGTTGCCTGCCGAAGCTGGTAGGCGAGACATGGAAGGCTGTGCACGCTGACAATACGAACGCCAGGGCAAGAAGTACTAACCTCCACGTAGCACCCATCATGGTTTCTAGGGAATGGTGGGGTGTTTGGATGTCGCACGTGTCAAGCGGCTGTGGGATGTGTGCTGTCGTGTCGTACCGTCTTGCATATGGGGCACCGTGGAATCGTTCAATGTTCGAAACGGGGGGTAAGAATAAAGTTCCACCGCGTTGTGGCTACCCCATCGCGACATGCCCGACATTCCACGCTCGTCTGACTCGCCACGGCTGCCCATCGGGCACCAAGCACCCACCACGCTGCTCTTGCGTAGTACGCGAGCGAATTCTGGTCTGCAATCGCCCCGAAAGAGTGCGTTGCCGTAGTCGCTCTCCGGAGATCGGGGATTGATTTTCGAATAGTGCAACTATCTACAAATTTGAATACCTGCCGAGAGCTCCCCGCGCTGCTGTGTCCCCGTTCAGAGAGAATTGGGAATTTGGCGGTAGCCGTAGGCGGCCACCGATGTCGCTGTCCTGGAGCGACCACACGTTTGACAGCGTGTTGTTCCAGCCGCATGGAGTGGAGCAGCATCGTGGCCTTCTCAACATGAGCTCGATCCCTACCAAGTGAGTCTAAAGCATTGGTACAATACAACAGCAGCAGTTCGCAGCATGCTCCAATTATCTTCCGTATGTGGCCGTCGTGCCGGAAATCGCCGACGGGCCACACAGTAGTTTGGACCGCATGGAGTAGCACAAGACGGCTACCAAACTGTCATGTTGAGCCTGTTACCTACAGGGGAGATATCGCTGTGTGCTGCTCGGGAAACCGTGGAAATACAGGGAGCTTTCTCGGACGCTATGAATTCATTGCTAGTCTATCTTAGACTCTTATCTTCGAGGTGGATTCGTTGGCTTATAGACTACCGGTAATTATTAGGCGCGTGCCGGATTGAATTTCATTTAGCCATTTTCCCCCCCCCCGACGCTGCACCATTGCACCAACCCCCCACTAGTGATGACGTACCATTACAATGTATCGCTGGTTGGTGGCCATGTTTGCGTGTTTGCTTGTTCGTTAGTGGTCTCTCCACCGTGTGCCTTCTTCTGTCTCATATTTCTTGTTATTTTCGGTCCCTTTTTGTCCTCACTCGTCATTTTCTCTTTACTGTTTCGTTTTATTTTCTTCTCTTTTTTTTCTGTTTTTTTTTTTTCTCTCTTTTCCTGTGCCAGATGGCATTGTCTCTGCTTGCGTTGTGAAGTACCAAGATTGAACCAAGGGGGTGTAACTCTTTCTCTCCGGCCCGTGATGGTGACTCCTAGTCTCAGTTGTTATACCTCGCATAGCGCGCAGAGGGAGTGGAGGACTCCAGGATATCTGTCGTCGATTTCTATTGACTTGCGGACCTCTCGGGGCCAGTTTATTTGAGTGTACCTTTTCGGGGTAAGTTAGCCTGCGACCACGGGAATCGACCGCGTCGAGTGTTGGATCAGTACGGACATGCGAAGGTACTGGGTAGAGAGAGATCGGAACGGTTTTTAATGTGAAGACAACAACAACATACCGGTCGCCCTGGTGGTCTAGTTGGGAACTTCGAAACCTTGAACAGGTCACTGCAGCGGCCCGAATCCCGGCGTAAGCGAGCTTTTCTTGCAATGTGAGTTTTTCTCTTGCTTCCGCTCCTGGCCTAGTGGATAGCGCTAGTTCATGTGTACACAGAGGAAAGAGAGTGCTGAACTCTTCTCGCATTAAAAATGGAAGGCAAAGTACCGCAGGAGTGGAGGGTAGACAGGGGCCTTTCTGTGTGACCACGGGTTGGAGTAAACGGCACTATTTAGTGCTGTGGGCGCTGATTTGAAGTGAAGCCCGACAACAAAAAAAAACAAATCAGAAAATGAAAATAAGATGCAGACTAGCAAACGCCACCTTGTGATTATTCTTGGGCTACCCAACGTTTGATTACCTCAGGGGAACGATATCTACACACACACCAATTGACGGGCCTGGGTAGGAAGACAGCAGAGGTTATGACCGGGGGGTTACACAAAAATTGGAACACCAGAGAGTTTTGAGTTTCTTCCCTTCTTTGCGCCACCCAATAGACCAAACCTAAGCTATTGCAGTATGCAGCAGGTGTCCCTCTCAAAACTTCACGCCACCCAATAGACCAAAGCTAAGTTGTTGCAGTATGCAGCAGGTGTCCTTCGCAAAACTTTACTGGAAAGGCTTTTAAGAGTCCCTTCGAACGGGGGCATCAATGTCTCGAGCGGGGGACACAGTTGGTCTCGATGCCACCTATATTACGGAGTACCATTTGAATGCTAGAGGACTGCCTGCAGATGATTGTGTCTCTTCCAATACTGAATCCCGAGTCAGTTACGATCGTCAATGCATTGTTTGAGCTATTAATTTACCTCTACAGGGAGAACGTTGAACACCACCAAGGAGCCCCTCAACTCTGAATGATAGTGTTGGTGTCGATAAGTTGACTAGACAGCGTTCTACAAATGGTCTGTTGCATATGACGTTTTTTTTGTCAGCGTGAGAACCACGAAGGGCCAAGAGCGCTTGTTGTGTGTCGCGCGACTGCTCTTTCGGCGACTTTTGCACTTACACACAATACTGCTGCGGGACCTTTCTTGTATTGCAGGGTGCACAGAACTTTTTTTGTGCAGTCAACCCCGGCGCGCACACGTACAATTCCGGAATGAAAATGTATTGGCAGCACAACTGGAGAGGGCGTGCATTTTGCTCAACTGCCGATGCTCACCCTCCCCCGAGAGCGCGACGCCTTGGCATGGTTTCGCCCGAACGACTTTTTAGTGTCACATCTCTTCCCCCGCCCTTGCCCGCCCCCGCTCTCTGTCCGCTCATGGTGGGGGGGGAAGGTATGAGAACGCCTCTGTTTTTCACCAGACCGAGTGGGTCGATGTCGACACCATCAGCATCAACCTCGCGGGCAACGTGGTGATCTTCCTGCTTGCCCTGACCTTTTTCTGGAGCTCGAGGCGGCACTACCCCAGCTACTTCTCGTCCAAGCGGTACTACCTGCCGGACCAGACGCCGCCGGACCTTCCCTCATCGGGGTTTATCAGCTGGATAATGTGAGAGAGAGTGGGAGCTAGAGAGAGAATGCCGCGGACGATCTCAGATGCAGAGTGTGCGAGAGACATAAAAAGAGGTAAAATGCCGCCGACAATGTAGACTGGAATATTTATGGGTGTGTGAGGGAGCGAGTGCGACAGAACAGCGACCAGTAATGCGAGAGAGAGAAAAGGGAGAGAGAATGATCTCAGCTGGATAGTGTGCGAAAGACAGATAAAATAATGGAGAGAAAATGCGGCTGACGATCTGAGCGGGATCATGTGTGTTTGAGCGAGCGCATTCCTGTCGAAGCTGATGGCGTGTATGTTGCCATCTCTCGCCACGTTTGATGTGTAGTGGAACACTCATACAGCTGCTTGGCGCTAAGTCCTCCTCCGAGGATGGAACGGGTCAATCGCGGCGGCCATGGTTGCTGTACCCTCTCCACCCGCTGCCTTGCTTCACTCGGCTAATGTAGCTTCTTGTCCCGTCGCTCCTCCCCTCATGCCTCGGAGCCCTCCTTTAGCTCACCGCTTGACTCTTGGAACGCACTGCTTTGTGTCTACAGCATCCCAACGTCGTGTTGTGGCCATCTGACTGACTGGCTGACTGACCGACTGGCTGACTGAAAATCCGGCGGACTGACTAACTGACTAACTGACTGACTGACTGAAAACCGACTGACTGAATATCCATTTGACGTGACTGACTGATGTACCGAATGACGGACTAACTGACTGAACAACCGACAGAACAACCGACTGATTGACTGAACAGCCGACTTGCTGACTGACTTCTGACTGACTGAATAACCGAATGACTGACTGTCTGACTGTCTGACTGAATGTCTGAATGTACAGGCCGCTGATGGCCTTCCCGGAAGACGATATCTTGATGTACGCCGGGTTCGACGCCGCCATTTTCCTCCGGTTCTATGCCGTGGCCTTCAAGGTGTGGAGAAACCAGTGCCGTACTGCGTCGGTTTACCACGCGCGAGATGTTTGCATGGATTCCGCACTTGCCGGCATCCGAACACCGGAAAGGAAATGGACATTCAGATGAGGGAGCGTGTGGGGGGGGGTATCGATTGTCGCTTTTATGAGAGGCTTCCTGCGGCAGAGTACGTGTGGGGAAAAAAACTGAGGTGTTTGCTGATTGCGCCACCCCTTGATGTCATGTCTTGACGATTAGGTTGTGCCCCTATCTACCACCCACCGTACCCCTTGCCTATCACCACCACCACGCTGGGGACACACAGATGGGAATTGGATTGACACAAACTAACCAGGAGGGCGCGATATCTAAACTTGTCAACAAGTTCCTAGGAAAGACTCCAATTGTTGAGCTCTTCCATGAACGGAACCTCCCTGATTCTACGCGGTGCCTTTGATGGACAAACGCCCATAAACAAGTTGACGCCGTTTGCTGAAATTCCCGCGAATAAAACAACCAAATACAGGTGTTCGCGCTCTTCGCACCGTACGGCCTTCTGGTGCTGATTCCTGTCAACGTCATGGAGACCCCGAGCGACAGCAACCAGGCCCGGACCAACATCAACACCTTCAACCGGCTGTCCATGTCAAACGTGCAGCACTACAACCCTTGCATGTGGCTTCACGCGCTTGGGATGTACCTCCTGTCCGCCTTGGCCATGTACTTTCTGGTGGTCGAGTACAGGTGCACGTCGTTTTTTTTGTTCGTTTTGTCTCCTCCTGTTCTGGAGTGACACGGCGTGTCCCCAACCCTTTTTTTTCTGTCTTGTGCTTGCTGTCCTCAACCCAAGGATGACTGATTTTCGCATTCGACGGGACTGACGTGTTCCTCTTCGTTCGCGGTAAAAGGGTGTAGCGAAAGCCGCTCGAAAGGACGAGGCCTTCGTCTTTTTGAACGCCTGCCATCACGCCAAGCATTCCAATTGTGCCCCCCGGCCGGCCTGCCTGGCGTCGCGCCCACCGTTTCCAGGTACTACACCAATCTGCGCCACCGGTTCTTGAGGCGTAAGTCGGCGCACCTGCGGACCATCGTGGTGCAGGGCGTGCCTCGCGAGATGAGGTCGGACTCCAAGCTCTTCACGTATTTCAACACATTGTACCCGGAAGAGGTGCGTGTGATCTTCCTCACATGTCGACGCCGTGTGTGTTCACACGTGTGTGCTTGTGTGTGTGTGTGTCTTCTTTGTTGGCATCGACGGTGGTGCTCGGCTGCTGGCCAGCGAAATGACGTCAGTTCTCCGTGCTGCTGAAAGCAGAAATGATTCCAAAGGCCGTATGGCCGGGGACCCCGTGAGCGTTTGTACGGGTATTTTGTGTTACAGGTTGAGGTGACGTAGGTACATGTTTGTGTGTCTGCTTCCACGTGCTCTGTGTTCGTTTGTGTGGGTGAGGTCTTTGTTTTTTGTGTTTTTGCGTATTCAAGTATATCGATTTTGGGTGTCCTGTGTCCGTGTGTATGGGTGTGTTTTTGTTGCCTTTAGGGTCCAAGTTGGTAGACTGCGATACTTTGCGTATACATGTTACGTTGTCGTGTGTGTTGCAGGGCCTTCGTCTGCCTTCGTGTTTACCCGTTGAGCGTGTGCCCGTGTCTGTGTTTGCTCTGCTCCGGACCTGCTGTTCCCGGCCCTCGACCGGTTGGCATATGGGCCGTCCGCGCTACATAGTGTCTCATCATATCATACATACCGTGTCAAGATTTTTGGTCGCCCGTCACGAACCGCTGTGACGCTAACAAGCGGCGTCACGCGCCACCGCTGATCGATTACCTGCCGGGCGCACCCAGGTGGTGAACGTGCACATACCCCAAAATCTGTCCCGTCTGCGGGGTCTCATCCGGGAGAGGCAAGCCGTGCTGGAGAACCTCGGGAAGGGGCTGGCGGAGAAGGGTGTGCGGGGGGAGGAGCAATACCACTATACTGGTGAGTGGTTCTCCCTCAGGGTGTTTGGCGTCCTCGTATGGCATGGGGTGGTCTGCTCTCGCCGTGTGAACGGAGGAGGTCTCTGGACTTATTCGCAGCATCGTGGTTGACCAGATTTTTGTAGCCACCTTTGGCAAAGTAGGAAGGAGCGATTGACCATCGGTGCTCGGTTCCTGTGGGAACAGTGCTCCGTCCTCTCGAGGACGCGTGGCCGATGGCATGACAGTGAAGACATGCAATCATTATTACGCCCCCGCCCCGTCCCTCCAATGCAATGGGTAGAGTTTGTCTACCTCGGTAGGTTGGCACACAGGGGTGCGCCAGGAGGAGGGGTAGAAGAAGCGGCTGCACAGTACTTTACAACGCAGGAAGAGGAGGAGGACAAAGTATGGTGTTGTATGAAAGAGTGTATTGGGGGAGCAGAACGTCTTTCGTGGACATCGTTGGGTAAAACATTTTGTGTCAGTGGTAAGTTTATCGCTCCCCTGCCCTCGTTCTACCACCAACCGGTGGTGGTGCTGCTGGTGCTGCTGGTGCTGGTGCTGCTTGCTGTCAAAAACTTCAGGAGTGTTGTGCTACCGAAGGAAGCGGGTCAACACTGTTGGCTTTTGCTCGACGCAGCTAGACCGGCTCAACCTCGCTATCGCCACCGAGCAGGACCAGCGGATTCCGCGGAGCCGCCGCCGCTTCGGCTGGGGGCCGAGTCTTCCGGTGCGTGTGTTGAACAGACACATTGCCATGCGACAGGCGTTGTATTTTTGGGGGTGGGCGGGGGGGGTGGGGGGGGGGGGGNTAGCGGGTAGACCATTGACCACGCGTCCTCGAGAGGACGGAGCATTGTTCCCACAGGACCGATCACCGATGGCCAATCGTTCCTTTCTACTTTGCCAAAGAAGACGGAAGGGGGGGAGATTGGGGGGGGTGGGGGGTGTACTCATAGTCGTGCATATTTTGCATGCCTTAGCTCTGTGTGCCCTGACTTACGGTCACCGGAGCATTGATAACCCATCCCTTTGGAGATAATTGGGAGGGATGGTAAGTATCATGCTACTCGGTCGCGCTTGATCAAGAGTGACAGACGCAGTCGTATTCCCCCCCCCCCCCCCC